AGGGTTTCTGAGGAGCAATTTGTGGGTTTGAACTACCAACCTTGTGGTGAGCAGTTCAGTGCTTACCCTACAGTGCCACACCAGGTCTCCTTTAGTATATCCTAAACTCCTTGAAGGGAGATATCACATTTTACAAATTCCTCTATCTTGCTATCTGAATTAGCAACAAAAAGGAGACTTTGCAAACAAGACCAAACCTCAACACAAAAGTCTCACAGGTAAATGCATCTGGATGGCGCTCAAACTCAAAGCATCCTGTAGACAATCACTAATATTTTTTACCCAAGATTACCCAGTCCCAGGCTAAACCAACCACAGGTCCTTATCAGCCAAGAGCAGGACTACAGAGCACAAGGTAAAGATCACAGACAAGGATGAGGCATATACTTTTTTCAGAACAGCACCAAAATGGAGCAACTAACTCTTAGTCAGAGCCCCAGGGAAGACCTCATCCAACCTCCTGTACGAGCCTGCGGACAGGCCACGTACAGCCAAGTGTTACCATCTCCTTCTTGACTGGCAACTCCTGGGGCCCCCAGCAACCTCACACAGCCAGGCAGACTTCTGGCCACGGCAGGTACCCTGCCCCACCAGGCTCCTCTCTTACAGAGTGTGACTTATTTCCCATGGAAGCTCGTTGAGCAGGTTACTGGGAGTCTTGGCAGGTACACAATAAAAATAATTCCAAAAGGAAGGAAACAGGCCAAAGACCAATGTGCAGAGCCAGGAGGGAGAAAGTTCAGGTACTGCAGCCTACCTCTTCTCCCAGTAACCACGGCCCTCTTCCTGTCGTCTGGGTTGAGGGTGGGCAGAGAAGGTCAGGAGGTTGACAGCTGCCCTTCAACTCCATCCGTTGATCTAACTAACACACATCGATGGAGTCACAAAACCCCCCAATTTCTAGCTGTACAATTTTGGGCAAGTCCCTTGCTACTGAGATGTTTCTTATCTATAGAACAAAGATAATCATCTTCGTTCTGCCTCCCTGACAGCAAATCAGAAAATGCATATGAAAGAGCTTTCTAAACTGAGAAGTCCTGTGGGTATTATTGCTAGTCATATTTTCTGCACCAACCTTCTCATTTTCCAGATGAGGAAACCCAAGCTCAGAAAGGTCGCATGGTAACAGGATGAGAACAGGGTCTTACTCACCAGTGACTGCAGGCCACAGACCCTCTATCTAGTGAACTGCTTCTTTCCCCCTCCAGTCTGTATTAGGAGACACTTCTTTGCAGACTTAGGTTAAAGAAACAGAAAAAGAGGAAGACAACCCTACTGTCACTTCCAAACCAGGGAAGTTCAGTTCAGGGCTGCCAGCCATTTAGGTGACTGACCACTGGGGGACTCCTGGGAGCAGGAGTGGGCTGAGCACCTCCAACAAGGCCACCTGCTCCAAATCTTACCATCAAGTTACGCGGTTCAAGGATGGAGTAAGGGGGCTGGTCTCAGGACAGACCTTCCTAAGTGGTGGTGTGGGACAGGGTTAAAAGCAGACCCCAGTTTGGGGACCTCCAGGAATTGACAGAATACAAACTGAACTCTTTCAGCAAACTGATGCAGCACTGGAAGTGCTCACTCATCTATGTCAAGAAATCTGGGAGACAACTACCTGGTCAACTGACTGGAAGAATCCATATTTGTTCCCATTCCAAAGACAGGTGATGCAATCGAATGCAGAAATCATTAAACAATATCTTTAATATCACATGCAAGTAAGATTTTGCAGAAGACAATTTTAAAAAAGGAGCTCTGGTAGCATAGTGGTTATGAGTCGGGCTGCCAATCTCAAGGAACTACCAGAGGTTGGTTCCGTGGGAGAAAGATGAGGCTTTCTGCTCCCGTAAAGATTTAGAGCCTCAGAAACCCTGTGCAGGGTCACTATGAGTTGGAACCGACTCCACGGCATATAACAACAACAATTTTAAAAAAAGGTTGCAACAGTACATCAACAGGGAACTGCCAGAAAAGCTGGATTCAGAAGAGGACGTGGAACTAGGGATATCATTGCTGATGATAGATAGATCTTGGCTGAAAGAAGAAAATATCAATAAGATGTTTTGTTGTTAAGTGCTTTCGAGTCAGATCTGACTCACAGCAACCCTGTATAGGGTTTCCAAGGAGTGGCTGGTGGGTTTGAACTGCCAACTTTGTGGTTAGCAGTTGAGTGCTTATCCTCCAGCTCCACACCAAGACTCAGAAGATACTTACTTGTGCTTTATTGACTATGCAAAGGCTTTCGACTGTGCTGTTGTTGTTAAAGTGCCTTCAAGTCAGTTCCAATTCAGAGTGACCCTGTACACAATTTCCAAGGAGCGGAGGATGGGTTTTTTCATGGTTAGCAGTCCAGTGCTTATCCTATAGCACCACACTGGGACTCCTTGGACTGTGTAGATCATGACACATATGGATAACACTGCAAAGAATTGGTAATCCAGAACACTTAATTGTACTCAAGAGAAAGTTGTGGTAGTTGTTAAGACAAAACAAGGGGGCACTGAATAATTTAAAATCAGGAAAGGTGTGTGTCAGGTTTGTATCCTTTCACCAAAGTTACTCAATCTGTATGATGAACAAATAATTTGAGAAGCTGTATTATATCAAGAAAGGAGCTCTGGTAGCGTAGTGGTTACAAATCGGGCTGCTAACCTCAGGGTCAGCAGTTCGAAACTATCAGCTGTTCTGCGGAAGAAAGATGAGGCTTTCTGCTCCTGTAAGGATTTACAGCCTCAGAAACCCTGTGCAGGGTCGCTATGAGTCGGAACCGACTCCACGGCACATAACAACAACAACAACATTATATCAAGAATGTGGCATCAGGATTGCAAGAAGACTAATTAACAACCTGCAATACATCCTTGCTTGCTGGAAGAAAAGAGGGCTTAAAATATTGATGAAGATCAAAGAGCACAGCTTTCAGTAGGGGTTGTATCTCAATGTAAAGAAAACAAAAACTCTCACCACTGGATCTATAAATAACATCACAGTAACTGGAGAACAGGTTGAAGTTTACAAAGACTTCTTCTTTTGCTTGGACCCACAATCAACACTCATGGAAGCAGCAATCAAGAAATCACAAGACATACTGTATTAAGCAAATGTATTGCAAGAGACTACTTTAAAGTGTTAAAGAGCAAAAGACATCAGTTTATGACTAAAGTGCACCTGACCTGAGCCACGGTATTTTCCAATGCCTCAGATGCATGTGAAAGTTGGATAAAGAATAAGCAAGATGTTGAAGAACCAATACAATTGAGTTATGGTGTTGGAGAAGAATATCCAAAGTAACATGAACTGCCGGAAGAACAAACAGTTCTGTGTTGGAAGAAGTACCGCCAAAATGTTCCTTAGAAGCCAGGATGGCAAGACTTCATCTTTCATACTTTGGACGTGTATCAGGAGGGGCCAGTCCCTGGTGAATGACAACATGCGTGGTAAAGTAAAGGGTCAGCGAAACACAGGAAGAGCCCCCTCCCCCCCTCTAAGAGATGGACTGAAACAGCGGCAGCAACAATGGGCGCAAACTTAACAATTTTGAGGATGGTGCAGGACGAGTGTTGCGCATTGAGTCGCTCGCTATAAGTAGGAACTGACTTGATGACACCTAACAACAAGGAGCTCTGGTAG